AATCTTCCGAAATTGGTTCCATTGAAGTTACTATTTTAAATGGAAAATTTAAACTAGGTGATGTACTTTTGCCATTCACCCCAATGATTCCAACAGATATGCCATTTGAATTCAAACGCCTACAGTTTCCGATGCGACTCGCGTCTACAATGACTATCTACAAAGCACAGGGACAATCGCTACAAGTTTGCGGACTAAATTTGGAAAACCCATGCTTCGCCCATGGACAGGTGTATGTGGCCTGCTCTCGCGTCGGAAAATCTTCTGATTTATTCGTGTATATACCAGATGGAAAAACAAGAAAAACTTTGAGTATTTAAAAGCTCTTGAAGAAACATAACATGCAAACACTTTCTTCTTCTTCTTATATTTGAGGTGCCCACGATCAATTTGTTGATCATTCTTTCTTTCCTTGAGTGGCATTGCAACGCATGCTGGGTACTCGCTAGTAATAACATAATAATTATAATATGATAGCATTTTTATTTATGCTTCAGAAAATGTATTATTTGCATGTTTTAGTTATTAATAGATTTTTTAAAAAATACTTCTAATACTATATATAGTTACGTTCAAGTAACAAAGCACCACATAAAAACAATGTAAACATTACTAAAAAGCAAGAAACAAAATACAATTTTAAAAGCTGCTATATACATATTTAATCCATAAAATTAAATTTAAGAAAACATATATCTTCATCATCTTCATGTGCCTTAGTCCTTGGACCATTGGGGCGCCACAGATGACATGTGAACCATCCTCTTCCATTCCTCTCTGTCTTCAGCACTACACACTGCATCACCCAGTGTAAGTCCTGTCCACTCTGATGTTATCCTCCCATCTTTGTCTTCCTCTTCTTCTCCCTCCTCTTGTGGCGCCCTGTAATATTTCTTTGGCAAGCCCTTGTTTCCTTGTTACGTGACCGTACCATTGTAGTTAGCATTTTTTCACAGTCACCAGTAGGTCATCATACTCCCCAATTGCCTGACGAACCCTTTCTTTCACTGTATCATTGGAGATATGGTCCCTATAGTAGATGCCAAAAATGCTTCTGAAGCATCGCATCTCCATCGCCTTTATTTTCTTTTCAAGATGGGCTGTTAATGTCCAGGATTCGCAGGCATACAGGAAAATGGAGAGGACTAATGAGCGCGTCAGCCTGATTTTGGTGCTGGGGGCTATATTTTTGTCATCCCATATTTTCTTGAGCTTCTTTAGTGCTGTTGTAGTCTGCGCAATCCTGGACATCAGTTCGGGCTTGGAGCCTTCTTCTGAGACTATTGCTCCTAGGTATTTGAAGTGGCCGACAGCCTCTAATCTATCCTCCCCGACCTTAATTTCAGTGGTGATGCCTGCGGTATCATTTGTCATCAGTTTTGTCTTTTCGGCACTGACTAGCATGCCGTAGGACGACGAGGTCTTATCGAGACACTTTACCAGGTTGGCTAGCTCTCATTCCCAGCCAGTCCGTCTATGTCCTCCGCAAAGCGTAGGTTGGTGATTGTTCTGCCACCATTGCTGATGTGGGCTCGCGTGGTGGCTGCACTGTTCCCTCATCATTTTCCTCAATTAATTTTATTTGTTGTGTTGTTTTATTATTATTTTGTAAAATATGTATGAATAAATAAGTATTCACTGCAAAATTATTGTTTTCGTTTATGATATGCCTCAGAGTTTTAATTAAATTACAAAAGTGAAGGTACGGTAAATTTAAAAAGATTTCCAGTTCTACGTCTCATAATAGATAATTGAGCATATTTCAATACCGGTAAACAGTTTCCGGCGGAGGCCCCCCGAACCCTCTTTAGTTAGACTAGAGGGTATCGCCCCAAAACCGCCTTGGGTGTGTTCCGTTTTTTCCAGTTCGTGATTTGGTCACCCTAGTCCAGGAGTCGGCAACCTGCGGATCGCGAGCCGCATGCGACTCTTTTGATGTCAAGATGCGGCTCTCCAGTTCCACGCGCAAATATTAATAACTATATTCAAATAAAAATGTTAGTGGCTCTTTACAAACTGGGAAATTTTGTAAATTGTAACTTTTGGCTCTTCCATCTCAAAAGGTTGCCGACCCCTGCCCTAGTCTAAAGGAACCCCGGTCTCTATAGCTGCAGCCTTCTCCTAACATGCCCTTCATAATACTACCGGGAACGAAATCCCAACGAGGAATAGGATCCTAAAGGGGAACGAGTAAATGGATCCACCGGTAACGCGATCCCATCGACAAAGGGGATCAAGGGACCACAAAAAGGAAACGGTAACCCACCGGGATCAGGATCTCACTGGGAAACGGGATCTCATCGGTATCGGGATCCCACCGGGAAATTGGATCACACCATTATTATGACACACCGGGATTGGGATCACACCGGAAACGGGATCGCGACAGAATCGGGATCCCATAGGGACCATAATCCAACCGGGATTAGAATCTCACTAGGGCCGGTATAACGATGGGATCGAGAACCCATAGGGTTGGAATACGTATCGGGATCCCACTGGTATCGGAGTCTCACCGGGTTCGGAGATCGAAACGGGGTCGGGATCCTATCGGAAAACGGGATCCGACTGGAATACCTCTCTGATCGGGATACCACCAGGGAAGGAAAGGTTTACAAAAGTTATTTTATATGTGTTTTTATAGGAGACACATTCATTTTTTATTATTTTTTTTCCTTATACTATTGCTATAGCGGTGTTTTCTTTTACTTGGCGCTTGATTTCAATGCTCATTAGTTTATGACAAAGACAAAGGCTGCAGAAGTTATTGTTTTTTCCGAATTTAATCCCGTGCAACGCCATATTGGCTAGTATATATACATACACTAGATTTATCGCAGCAATTTTAAACTTAAAAGTAAAAGAGATTGTTTTAAAACAACAATTCAATTTTTTTGTATCATATTGATAATCTGCTTACCTTTGACCTTGACATTATTTTCCACTGATGGTTCGATTCAGATTGCCATATTGGCCTTTATTTTTTAATAACATCTTAAGATGCATTTAATGTGTTTGATCATTTTCAAAGCACAAACATAAAATACAATTTTGAGTAACTATTGATCTAAATTAAATACTTCAAAAATTATTTTTGTTCAAAACCCACCTTTTAAGCTTTAATGAATTATTGTTTAAATCTTACCAAAGGTACGTAATTGTAATGTAAATAATGTCCCGAATTTTATTTTTTTTGATAAAGAAAAAAAATAACTTTATTTAAACTTAGAGCACTTAATTTTTTTTAAACATCAAAAATCTTTTTTAAAATCCACGGGTAGTCTCTCATAGTTTAAATCAGCCCATTTTACAGACACGCATCTGGCAGCACCAGCGGTACCGGCATCAAGACCAAACAATATTTTAACGTATAAATATTATTGGAACTAAGTACTAATAAAAAAAAACGACTTGGTGCCGATCCCAAAGAAGTTGTGATTGAAGTTATTTGTAACTTGCTTAACGTGAAAAGAGGTGAGCATTTTCCAATTGAGTAAAAATGAAAATACCTTTTACAAAATATTTTGCATACTAAAACTAAAATTGGTAAAATCCCACTTTGTCTCATGATTGATTTACACAGTGTAACACAATGACATACACAGCTCACCGTCCACTCACCACATTGAATTAAATTGTGAGTGAATTGATTCTTATTTTTCCAGTCCGACTCAAGTAAAGTAGCCTTAATCATTAATTGATTTGTTCTTGGTGAATTTTAATTTGGCTAGTTTTGAAAAACCATTGATTAAATTTTAAAAAAATCGAGTGTGGCTGAATTAAATCAATTAATTAATTAAATGTGGATTGTGGGTCACATTTCTCTCTCATTTTTGCCACATGCACGTCAATGACATAATAAATAGTATTATATATACTTATTTACAAAGTTTGTTGCAGTTTTCTTAATTATTATTTACATCAAAGTGGATGTGTACACCGCGGCGGTGTACCTAGCGAAACCATCGGCTTTGTCCTGTGTAAACCGCAGCCGTGTGACTATTGAAATCTTGGGCTTTGGCCTGGGTACACCGCGGCAAAAATGTACCATTGGCCTGGTTTTAAGATATGCTTGTTAGAGAAGATCTTGTGTGGTCAAGTGGTAGAGTGGATGCTTGGCGATAATATAGTTTGAGATCAATTCCCAGTAGGGGATCGAGTTTTTTCTCCTCCCATTTTAGTTTTAAAATATTTTGTAGCAATTTAAACAATTTAAATATATGTTTAAATATTATATTAAATACTAAATATATTTATATATAAAATATTAAATGTTTTAACAAGTTGTGCCGGCCTTTGACTTTGAAAATACCGGTAAATTTAGTAATAAGACTTTAGACATTAGAAAACAAACTTAAAGTTTCTGAAAGCGCATATATATAATGTATGTAACATGTATAAGAGAAACATTATGAAGACTAAGTGATATTCTATTGTATTTCAACATTCTTCATGTAGTTGAATATTTACATTTTACTTTTACGAACACCCAAAGCCCAAAGAAAATACCAGTATATCATTAATATCATAAGAATATTAATGTCATTAATGTGCATGGTTGTATTTCAACCTTGAACCATCTTGCTTTCACTGTCTCTTATGCATTGGCAAAATGTACATACGATATCAAAGGTTCATTCACAACACTCAGTCTCACAGCTTGAAAACACCTCGATTTTAGAAACTTGCGGAGCGGTAGCAAACTGTATAGCACAGCCATAGGTCTGCATTTACCCTTTTCATGGCATGTGCTATTCTCAGGGTAAAACACGACGTTTTCTCACAGAAACCATTGCACAATGGGCTTGGGACAGGATTTGCGCCATGTCAAAGTTTTTGTATTTGTTTTTTTTTATTATTGTTAAGAAATCGATCCTTGCCGGGGGGTGGGGGTGGAGGTGAGTTATGGCCAGAGGCTTAACCAAAAAGGGGGCATTCACAAATCACGGCTCTGGATAGGGGTTGTCCACAAAGGGCGTCCGCACAACAAACTTTCCTTTTGCATCCCCCCCTCCGCCGGCATTTTTTACCAATGTGTTATGCCAATATAAAAACTAAATCAATGATATTTAATTATTGTTAAAAGACTTTTAAAAATCACTGCAGTGTATCATCTTACTGCTGTTTTGTGTTCACACACGCTTGGTATCACAATGACAATGCCTCGGACAACTTTAACTTCACGACTTCATGATCAATGTATGACATAAGTATGTGATTCTCTTCCCGTAGTGTATTTGTCGCATAATTATATCTTGGTGCTAACAAAATAGATTCACTGGCTTCCCATTCATTTTTACACCTTGCCCCGAGGGATCACATACAATGTTATAATTATAATCTCCCCCCCAAAAAACAAAACAAAAAAAAAACTGTGTTGGGGGGAGAGAATAATTTCATAATTTCAAATGAGCTACCCTTCTTATGCCTATTAAGATTCACAATCATATGATAAAACTTACAACAATTAATAAATATATTTGTATTTAAATATATTGGGGGAGGGGGGAATAAAGTGGTTAACTTTAAAAAAAAAAATAAATCATGGTTTAACATTACATCCCCAGCCCCCTCCCTTCCAAAAAATAATAAGAAATGCTTTACATGTACTTTGCCACATAAGCGTGGAACTTACTCAACATCTTCCCTAGGTAATAAACGAATTTTAAATAAATAGTTTTAACACGAGTATAACATTAAATCTACAAGTACCGGTTAGGCCAAAAAGTTAAAGACTCGCAAAGACCATAGTTTTGCTACTTTAAATCACTGCGGTGTACGCAGGCCACAGACCATGATTTAGCTACATACTAAAAAGATTTCGATGTTTGTATTTACATAATGCAAGTTATTGTTTTATTATTTTATATTTTTTGTTTAATTGGGGAGAAGTACTCCCCAGAGAATTTTTGTTTCTTATTTTGGTACCGATATTTAAAGCGAGACGAGGGGTTGGGTCTCCCTTCCCCAGTTCCTAGAAGATCATTCCAAATGCAATTCAAGCAGCAGTCTTCCTTTTGTTACCTAAGTTTCAACGCACGGGTTTTCTGATTGTAACTAATCAAAATACGGCAATTTCGGCTGGTGTCTTTTCTTTCACTGGTGTTGGGTCTTGGGGTAGTAGCAAGGATGTTTCTTTTTTCCTTTCTTTTGAAACGTCTAAGTTGAATTTTAATACAAATTAATGGAAATTTTTATTTCAATATACTTCATGTTAACCATATCGCTTATGATGCGAGTAATGCTCAATAAAGAACAGGAATGTTATAACAAACATCGTTCGGGTCCTTCAAACAATAGATCTATTCACCCTAAGTCCAGTGTTGGGATTTCCCAATATGACGTCACTGCGCTCAGGGTGAGAAAACTCTTGTCAAAACCCATACCGTTGACACAAAATTAACCCTGTGATGTATATATTATATACGCCATATAGTGTTCAAAATTCACTTCAGTATTTATTTGATAAGTCCAGGTTGTTCTTTTTCTCATTTAAAAATTTTTTTTTCTTGCAAGAGGGGTTCTGAGTAGAGGGTCCCCTTAAATTTTGTTTCTTATTTTTGTATTGAAATTATTTGTTTCTTTTTCTTTGGGGAATCCCAATACTGTACTTGGGGTGAATAATCAAATAGTTGGCCCTGAACTATGTGTATGATAATTTTCCCATTCTTCACTGAGCATTATTCGCATCATAAACTAAATCTAACGGTCTATACAGTGTAAATGAAATATATTAAAATGAAAATTTCCATTCTTTTTATGAAAATTCAACTTCTAAGAAAAAAGAAACTCATACTTGCTAACCCCAAGACTCGCTCAAAAACATACGGTGAACGATCTTTCTCTTTCTGTGCCCCCAAACAATGGAATACTCTTCCATTACACATCTGATAAACGATGCTGCTGGGTGCCGTCCGTGGCTTGACATGTTACATGTAAATAGTGCGGGAATGGGTAGAATACATTTGTTTTGTTTTATTTAATTAATGTATGTTAATTAATTTTTTAAGTTCATGATTATACTTGTTAAATTGTATGTATTGCATGGTGAGCCCAGCCCTAGGCTGGGTGGGGTACCACGCTATATAAAACTACTGCTGCTACCCCAAAATAAACACCATAAAAAAGATGCACAGATTATTACAAGTGTTGTCTTTTGATCGATAGAAAAAAGAAATACTCATAGACTATTCATTTCTATAATGGAATTATCGCCATTTCATGGGATATTTCATAATTTTCTGGGGAGGGTAGAGCCCTCCACCCACTTCCTTGAGAAAAATTAAAATTGAGGGGAAAAACTTTTATAAAATAAATTTAGAGCTAAAAATCAAATTCTGTTGAATATATATGTTATGTATGACACTTTTTTCGCGTGTGTGAACTTTGCTTGAACCCTAGCACACACGCTCTGTTCATAGATGGGCGTGGCCTATTCGTTTGATGTATCTTGTTGACTACCGCCTTCCCAATTAAACATGGTTAGACTGTCTCCTAGTATTTTGTAGAATGTTTGCGATTGTTCAAGAAATGTAAACAAATGCTGAGTAGCTTCAGGAAGGCAGGGCTTACGCGTCGTTTGACCCACATATATAAGTGATTAACAGATACGGAGAGAGGGAGATTGATAGATATTTTGCCTTCACGAGTCGTGTATTGTTATTCGTGTACTTATGTGTTATTCGCATTCATCATTTTTGATTGGCACATTGTACTAACTGTGTTAACTGTGTACCGGTACAAGATCTACCATACTGTAAGTTGATGATTTGTAATTATATTTCTTTTGTTTATAATTGTATTAATACTGAATTAAATCTTATTAATTGTATTTGGTAGTGTTTTGCGTGTCGTACTTGTGTTATTGTATTTCTATATGGTATCGTCCTTTGTTAGGCACTGTTTGAACGAGCCATAAATTAAAACAAGAGATTAATTTCTCACAAGAGATGGCAGTGCGTAACAATATAACTATGTCAGTTTGTTGACTAACCTCCATGACCAATACACTGTAAAAGACATAGCTGGCTTTGATGCTAATTGCATCTTAGCCGAGATGGGAATAGAACCGAACACACAGAAAAGAATGAACTCAAACCCTGCTGACAACTCAACTGAAGGAGCCTATTGATGTTTGTTAATGAGTGACAAATTAAATAACACATTTTGTAGCCAAAAAATTTTTCATCCTGTTGTCAGCAGTTAGTATCTTTAAAAAAGAAACGAAATTAGAATTGTGTATATACAAGTTTATTGTGTTTCCCTGTTTATTCATTAAATTTGATGGACTCATTTTTGTGGACGGTACACCATTTAGGTGTAATCGTCCCCATTTTGGACTGATAGATTGAAAGTAGATAGAAATAAGAAATCAATTTTTAAAAAGTTATGAGCAAAAGTGCATCCCTTCTTTTTGATTTTATTTTTAAAACCCTTCTTTTTTGCGGGTGATAGAGCCTTTTTAGTGCATTGGGATTATTAGCGCAGTGCCACATTCTATTGGCATTTCTTCCTCCTGCCAGATTTTGGATATGAGATTATGTATTTGCCTCTGCAGTTCATTTCCACCTAGTTTTATCTAGAATTATCTTCAATATCCAAATATATAGTATAAGTAAAAGGCCCTTTTTTTTTTTTTAGAAATTGTACATAATCCATGAATTTTATAACAGTTATATTTGTATGGTGAATTTTTTGCAAATTTATATCTTTCACAAACTGTTTTATTTTTCATATTCATAGAATGTTTGAGTATGATTTGTTTCAGATAATGATGTATTTTGTCTAAATAAATTTTTAAACTATTATAACGAGTTGTTTTTTCATACATACTACATGACGAAAACCATGACAATGGAGCACATCAAAAAGACTTGGCTACAGGGAAAGGAATGACAATGAGCAGCACAATATTCCCACACAAATACATAAAGCAACATGGATATCACCAGATGGATTTACCCGTAGTCAAATTGATCACATACTCATTGACCGGAGGCATGGCACCGACACATTAGATGTACAAAGTTGTAGAGGGGCAAACATAGACTCAAGACCTCAAAACCATTAACCCCTACAAAGCATGTGGTCCTGACAATATCAAACCAAGAGTGCACAAAGAATTACCCAAAGAAATCGCTCCTGCAATAACAATCCTCTTCCAATCATCGCTGTGCACAGCCAATGTTCCAGTAGACTGGAGAACAGCACACATCACTCCAATCTACAAGAAAAGGGAGCATTCCGACCCTGCCAACTACCGGTATCGTCCGATATCCCTCACCAGCATGGTATGCAAACTGTTGGAGCACATAATCGTAAGCCCATTCATGAAGAATATTGAAAGCCAAAATATACTCAATGACTGTCAACATGGCTTCAGAGTCAATAGATCATGTGAGACCCAGCTCCTTGAATTTGGAGAACAGCAAGATAACTGATGTGCTGGTGATGGACTTCTGAAAGGCATTTGACCATGTCAATCAGTTTGCTTCTACACAAACTTCAGAGATATGGGATCCAAGACACTACTAAAACATGGATCTCTAGCTTCCTCAGCAACCGATGCCAAGCAGTAGTGGTGGACAGTACAAGCTCCTCCTTTGTCGATGGGAAGTTAGGGGTCCCACAGGGATCAGTGATTGTGCCCCTGATTGTTCCTAGCATACATCAATGACCTACCCGAGAAACTGACATCCCAAGCAAGACTGCTCCCAGATGACACCGCAGTATAAAGGACAATCGCAAACATATCTGACTAGGACCAGCTACAACAGGATCTCAATCGATTAGCTGAGTGGGAGATGAGCTGGGACATGGAATTTCATCCTGCCAAGTGCCAGACACTGTCAGTCTCTCGAAGTTGTACTCCTCTACACTACCATTACGAACTTCACGGCCATAAACTTCAGCCAGTTTCCTCCGTAAAGTACGGGTGTTACCATTCAAAGAGAGGTCCGCTGGGACGAGCATATTAACAATGTGTTCAACCAGGCAAACAAGATCCTGGGGTTATTAAAGCGTAATCTAAAGATTGGAAACTCCAGTGTGAAAGAAAGAGCCTATAAAGCCTTTGTCCGTCCGGTTTTAGATTATGCATCTTCAATCTGGTACCCATTCACCTAGCAGAGCATCAACAGGTTGGAGGCGGTCCAGCGACGGGCAGCACGCTTTGTCCTGGACAGGTTCTGGAATACCTCTAGTGTTGGCAGCATGCTGGAAGCACTAGGATGGTCACCATTGGAGGAATGACGACGACTATCCAGGCTCTCCATGATCTATAAGAACAATAATGGGCTGGTCCACTGCTCAAGCATTAAGCAGAAACTTGTCTCTCTCCCCCATAGACAGCGACGAGGCCATGACAGGCAATTCAGGCTCATACCAGCAAGAAGCCAGTATAGAAGCTGCTCATTCCTGCCAAAGGCAATCAGGGACTGGAACAAACTTTCAAAAAGAACAGTTAAGGGGACAACTCTAGACACATTTGCGTCTATTGCCTCAAGCCTTCAAACCCCCAGTGCATGATTCCGTTACAGAGTGGCACTTGCAATCAGTGAAATATCCTCATCAACACCAGGCACAGAAACATTGCAAATCCCCTCTACGTGCATAGGAGCCAAAATGATCAATAAATTGATCGTGGGCCCTTAATACATAGAAGAAGAAGAACTCTTGCCTGAGTCAGAGTAAATTTCGAATAACAATTAAATAGTAATTGACGTAATTTCAAATTTTGTAACTTACTTTACAGCTGATTTTACCAATGAAACTAATTATAAAAATAATATATTAAATCAGTAAAAATCTGTACATTGTATATTTTCAAAAAGTTACAGCCTTTCTTACATATTCAGTAATTTTAATATCTATGCGTTCAGTTTTTAATTAGTTCAGTTGTCCGTGTGGTCACATGTCCTAGGATTCACTTGTTTCTGTTGTCTCTTGTGGTCAGTTGTAGGTTAACCTGTTGTGCGTTCAGATGTCTGGAAAATGTTTCTTTTTTACCGTCTCCAATATCATGTGCTGAAGAATGGCATGCTTTCATGGTGAAAAGAATCATAATACTATTTCTAGAGTTGAAATTCATCAAATTTTAATTAAATTCATCAAATTTTAATTTTGTTAAAATTTAACATACACTATTCCAACTTTCAGATTTCTTTCCAATGGCCAGTTTTGTTAAAGATCTGATGCGGCAGTATGATGAAGCTTACCCACAAGCAGGTAAATTATAAGATTGTTATATTCTTACTACAGGAGCTTAAAACTCATGAGATTATAGATGCCTTATATATAAATATAAAAAAAAACAACATAACATTTTCTAGTACAGTTGAACCCGGTCATGTCGCCGGCCTAGGGGTTTGCCAAAAAGCGGTGAGATAACCCATGTTCAAAATAAATGAAAACCAATATGGCAGCTATATATTAACATGTGCTTGAAATTTCTATAAGTACATAATGTGCGTTAATAAATGAGAATGTACATACACATGTTTTTGGAGTTGTTTTTTTTTAACACAACAGCATTGCTGAGATTTGTTTGCTATAAAAATATACATACATGTTTGTTAACATCGAAAGGCATATTTGCACCAACTAACAGCAGAGTTTTACCAGTGTACAATTCAAACCACCATCGATTCTCGATACAAACCTTTATTATATTCTCCAGCATTACAATGATCGCTAAAAAAATCTTTTAAAAATGGGGGGGGGGGGGCGGTTCGTTTTTACTAAAAGTTAACCAGTTTCAAAATTAAATTTGTATCGATTCTCGATACAAACCTTTATTATATTCTCCAGCATTACAATGATCGCTAAAAAAATCTTTTAAAAATGGGGGGGGGGGGCAGTTCGTTTTTACTAAAAGTTAACCAGTGTCAAAATTAAATTTGCGAGTCATTTCACTCGGACACAGCTCTGAAAAGTATCGTACTCTATGATTTCTTTTACTAAGTCTAAAATGCTTGTTGCTTTTTGCCTTTAACAGTCTGCTTGAAAACAAATGCTTCAATATTATTTATGCTGTCTAAAACAGTTTCATCTCCCACAAAGGAACCATATCGTTGAATTTTCTGTACCATTTCTACCACCTCACCAGCTGAGGGAATTTGTTCCTAATCTTCGTCCACATCTTCTTCATCTTCTTTGTCATTGCTGCTTGCACACTGCACAGTTGATACAATGTCTTCATCGGTGATCATGTGGAGTTAAAAAGCCAGCGATTGGTCTGTGTGATCAAGATAACCGACATTAAGTGGCTAATTTGGCCCTCTTTTGTGCTCGAGATATTAGGGTTTGGCGACATAAAAGAATTGACATAACAGATGAGAAAATGCAAAGATAAAGATAAAGAATTTGGCGGTTCCACTTCAAAAATGTCGACTAAATAGGGTTGGCGAGTTAATCTGGGTCGAGATAAGTGGGTTCAACTGTATTGATATCTGCTTTACCGATTTCCAATTTGTTCATCCAGTACATTACTTTGTATCTGTTTTGAGATTATTTTTTTTGAGACTTCATGCACAAGTTCAAATTGGTATAATCCATCAGACCTGGTCAGTTGAAAGTGACCTCTGGTCAGTTTAGAATCTATAGTTGGTGGCAGCTAGGAATATAGCTTTTGTGGGATTTATTCACAAATAGGCTTAGTGCAGTAGAAGAGAAATAGAAGCACCCGGTAGCTTTTAAAATGTTTTAGTCTGGAAAAAAAACACAGTTAACACTCCTTTTGTGTAACTAAACAAGTATTCTTTTAAGATCCATTTTAACTTTTAAAAGAAGCCTATTCTGAATGCTACCATTTTGTTAAATACTGGTAAATACATTATTCTTCTTTATTTAGATTAATATTTCCTTTACATATGGCTCTAATTGCAGTTTTATACCATATTTAGAATGGGATCTCTGCGAATTTTATGTTATATTTTTTATTTTTATTATATTATCCAGCTGGCAGCTTTCAATCAAATTAAAAAAGACTTGTACAAAATATATGCATCAACTCAACTGTAATTAAACATTTTTCAGATCTTTTCTCATGGCAATAAATGCCTATTGTGAATAAGAGACCAAAGTTAATAAAAAAATCAACAGAAAGTTAAAAACAGACTAAACCGAACCACATCTAATTTTTACTGTGTACTTAAATTAACCCAGAGATTTTCTTTGGGATTCTTTACTTATCCAATCATAAAAAGATTAAATACAAAAAAAAAAGAGAACTGATTTAAATTCAAATAAAATAATTTACAGGCAACTATTTTTGCTTATCTAGTGTAATTTTTTTCATGTACAGGTTTTGAAATATTTTGAAGAGGTTTTGGGAATTTGTGTATAAGATTTTGAACTCAGAGGTTAGCAAGCATGAGTATTTTAATTATTTATTTTCACTTGGCCTAGAGTGAGGTATACACACCTTTTATGATTTTTTAGTATCATAATTTTATATGACTTTTCATTTTAACAAAACTTAATGATGGGATATGGGATGATGTTAACCTATCTTATCAACTTTTTAGGAATATTTGAAACATCACTTAAAAATTTGTAGACTTAAGTTTTTTTTATTAAGCTTGTTGATAAAGAGCACTTAATATATATAAGGTTATCAGCTAATAAACTGAATTAATTTTGAGTTGTTGCATTATTAGACATATTGAACATATCTTTTTGAGTAATTTGGGAAAGTACAATTTACTTATCAAAAGTGCTTTTCATTGTTTAAAATATTAAGTTGCTAAGGTACTTCGCAAGGAAGATAATCAAACAAGTAATGGCAACAATCAAAGTTAGTTCAATGTTTTATTGTAGGAGAACAACACTGAGTCCTACCAACATAGAGCACTCACAAGACAGCATAAAAACATGACTTCACTACACAATAAGTAATGTGGTGTGCAAAACAATGCGCAATTAGCATTCAGCATTTTGTCAATTTCCAACACTCCTTCTCAAAATACTAAATAAAGCTAATTCATTGGTTTCACACCAATCATGTCTCTAAGAATCTTGAATCTTTGCTGATACAGTCCCTTAGTAAGAATATCAGCTATCGTAAGAATATCAGCTATCATTTGTGCAAGCAACCGAGCTTTAGACTATGTCTCTCAATTTGTCTCTCAGCGTTTACTTTGATCATAAACACTCATTTGCTTCCTACAGCTTTTCTTCCTTCTGGCAGTGCTACTAAGTCGCAGACTTCGTTTTTCTTGAACTTGCCATGGCCTGTCTCGCTGTACTGGGTTCTTCCAGATCCCGAGTCAAGTTTAACCACTCACCATATCGATTTGGTGGGCGTTTAACTTTCGCTGATCGTCTGACATCTAGCTCCTCATCTGGTTCATCAACACCTTCATCATCAGGATCATCAACATGATTCACTTCTTCATCTACGTCATTATCAATGAATTCCCGAAATACAGGTGTTGATTCCTGAGACATTTCAGTCTCCTTCTCAAGACCGAACGTGTTCTCTACTTCTTCATCGTCATCAATGAATTCCAGAAATATAGGTGTTGATTCCTGAGACATTTCAGCCTCCTTCTCAAGACCGAACTTGTTTTCATTAAACAGAATGTCTCTGCTGTAAATCACCGTATTCGTTTTCAAATTGTACAGGCGATAACCCTTGACATCGATTCCGTACCCCAGAAAAACACATTTCTGTGTTTTTGAATCGAACTTCTGTCTTTCATCTTTAGGAATATGTGCATACGCAACACATCCAAACACTTTCAGGTGATTGACACTGGGTTTCGTACCAGTAAACACCTCAAATGGTGTAGTATCTTGAAGAGCCTTAACAGGATTTCGATTCTGCAGATATACAGCTGTTGACACTGCTTCTGCCCAGAATTTTCATGGGAGCTGTGCCTCAGCCAGAATGGAACGTGCTGCTTCCACAATAGACCTGTTCTTCCTCTCTGCTACTCCATTCTGTTCTGGTGTTTTCGGAACAGTCAGGATCCCCTCTCTTTAAATAACCTTCAAATTCATTTGAAGTAAACTCTCCACCGTTATCGGTGCGTAGGGCCTTAAGATTTTTTCCAGTTGACTTCTCAACCATAACTTTCCGTTCAAAGAAACACTTAAAGACCTCATCCTTGTGCTTAAGGATATAAACACAAGTATATCGACTGAAATCGTCAATAAAAGTAAGAAAATATTGAGCTCCACCAAGTGATTGTGTGCTGACCTTAACGCACACATCATTGTGAACCAGGTCAAGTATCCCATTTCTTACCCTCCCACTTGACGGAAACTTGGTCCTGTGATGTTTGCCCTTTGCACATGGTTCACACAGTTCCCTATTTGACCGCTCATCATACTCAAGACCATCCACTAGATTTCCTATAGCCAACTTCTTGAGATTTTGAAAACCTAGGTGTCCATAGTGTCTATGCCACAGTTCCTCACTTGTTTCTTTACCTCCGTTTGCTGTATTACAGTGATGTTCATTGGCATAATGACACAAACGTTACAAACCACGTGACCGCACTCCCTTTGCCAGAAGTTTACCGTTATTATCTTTTATTTCACAACCTTTGATATTGAAATAAACTTTCTTTCCAGCCTCAATTGCGTGGTCAACACTGAACAGATTACACTTGAGTTCAGACACATAAAGCACATCATGCAGCGTGCATTCTTCGTGCTTATTACCAGGCAACTTCATCCTTAGTTTGACAACACAACAGGCATGTGCCTTCAGATTCCGTCCATCTCCGAATCCTATATTCAGAGGCTCTTCCAAGTTTGACAACTGGACAAATTCAGATCTCCTGCAACACATATGACTTGTTGCTCCAGAATCAATAATCCAAGTCGCGACACTATTGCCTGTAGTTAAGGCATGCCGATGCCTCATTAACAGTCCCCCACTTTCATTACTTGAGCATCTCTTAGCCTTAATCTCAGTGTGATTTGCCTTATTTTGTCTGTAAATATGTTTGCCTGATTCTTGCCTTTTTAACTCAGGACAATCTCTTTTAATGGGTCCAATTCTCTTACAATAATAACACTGGGGTCCTTTCTTAATTGTCTTCTCCTTCGACACAAGTGCTCTACTTGGTACTTCTTGCCTTCGTTGTGATATCTTTTGCTCTTCATGAAGTAATCGTTCAGTGACAAGTTCAATCTGAGCAAGCCTCAAGAGCAGTTACCAACATATTGTATGAGTTGGGAAGGCTAGCAAGTAGGTGAACCACCCTGTCTTCTTCATCAACGGCATCTCCTACCACAACAAGCTCGTTGAAAATCTCTGTTAGAGTTTTAATGTGGTCATGCACAGAGTCCCCATCATTCATTCTAATTGTAAGTAATCTCCTTCTCAGCGCCAGTCTATAAGCCCATGTCTTCTTTTGAAACTGATCCCTCAGTTTTTCTCAGACATCTTGGGTTCAACTGGATTGCCGATTAATTACAATAATGAAGTGTCCAACGCCAACACAATGATACCCAAAGCCCTATCTCTCCTTACAGTAAATTTAGCAACCTTCTCCGATTCAGCCTTGTCAGGTGTAATTTCAGACCCAGTAACAATCCCCCAGAGTCCATCCTTCATCAAGGCCATCTGGCATTGAATTTTCCAGGTCGAATAATTTGCACCAACAAGAGGAATGATGCTTGTGTTTATGTTTGCCATTCCGGTAATTCTACGAACACCGATTCCGAATACAAACCACACAAAAAATCGAATCAGCAACAGCTTAGCACAGGATAACGCTACCTGGGCCCATAACCTGTTGAAAATATTAAGTTGCTAAGGTACTTCACAAGGAAGATAATCAAACAGGCAATGGCAACCATCAAGGTTAGTTCAACTTCTATTGTAGGAGAACATGGAGTCCTAACAACATGGAGCACTGGACAAGGCAGCATAAAAACATGACTTCACTACACAATAAATAATGTGGTGTGCAAAACAATGCACAATTAGCATTCAGCATTTTGTCAATTTCCAACATTCATTTGAAAAAAAATTGCAGGCTGCCACATAGTTACATGAAATTTAAGTTGGCATCATTCTCTGGTTCATTTAAAACAAATTCTTAAGTATGGTCCTTTGCTTTGAGTATTTTGTTTACAGATAGTTTAATGACATATTTTTCTTTGGTGTCAGTAAAGAGCCTTGTCACGTCTATAATCACTCACAGTACACAGACTACCACAATACTATCTATCAACAACAGAGGTGTTGTGTATTTCTATGAAATATAGTGACTATCCTTTAATAATGCGTAATCACAATAATAATCATAACTAGATAATACTTGTACCGATCTTAAAAACACTTAGAATAAATCTGCTCTACTTGAACGCCACAATCACAATCTATTCATTATCTTATCACATAATATTAATAACATGGACTTAAAATAACCGCCATGACTCCATCTTTCTTTGTATCTCTTCTTCACTGATTGGTTCGTCTTACCAAGTCCCATACTCTATAAATTACAAGTCATAATTCTCACCTCACTTGACTCCCTTGTAAATCATTATTATTTGTGACACCCTCCCTCTTCATTTTTAAACAAATTTGTAACAAATTTTTAAATTACTACATATAATCCAAGTCAAACCTTTATCAACATCATAAATTTAACATCTTACTTCATATCACAATATCAAGAATTAAAAAATATAATATCCCCATCAATAGTTAATGAATTTCATCATGGGGATCATCAATAGCTGTAAAGTCAAAATATGTACTCTCTCTTTTTTAAGAGATATGACATTCTTATATACGAACTATCATAAACATATTCTATTTCATCTCAAAATATTATTACGTCATAGGAATATATTTCTAAATTGTACCTATAAACAAAATTGTTGCTTAAATTGTACATAACAATTATACACAAATTGTTCAACCTCCATTGTGTCTACAAAAAAAATCCTTTGTTATTTTTGCATTCCATTAATTTTAAAATGATGTGCCAAGCTATAGTTTGAACTATTTCTATTTGTTATAAATCATTCTGGATAAAATGTCTTCACTAATCTATCTTTACTTATGTTTAGAATGGTTTCACATGTTCCATTTATTTCATTTGCTTCTGATTCCAGTTCAACATTGTTCTTTTGTTGTGCTCTTGTTATCACATTAAGTTTAAGATCATGTTGCTATTTGTTTCTTTTTTTTTAATTGTTATTTCTGTTTTCTGTTAAATTGTGAATTAATTCTTCTTTCATGCTTTCATTGTTTCCAATGTTATCTTGTGTTATCTTATGTGCTTTCTTATTTCCTATCATTTTATCTCTAAGTAGTTTTGCTTTCATGTGGTCTGATAACTTTTCATTTATAGCAATGGCATTAAATCTATGTATGTATTTTTCTATGTTCTCAGTGCCAATTCCATTTGCTCATTGTAATTTCCTTCATGCTGTCAATCTGTTTTTCTTCTATTTCTTTATCTTGACTATCATCTTTTTCTAACTAGGTAGAAGTATGCAGTTTGTTTTCTTCTCATCAACCACTGTTTCATTAAAATTTCAGAATTGTCAGGTATTACATCAGGAATGTTACCTATTATCAATGGTGTTATAGGTTTATCCATTACAACTGCTTGAATTTTCCTGTTACCCAAGGTGTATCAACTTTAATAATTGCTGTCTGACATGAGATACTTTTTCCATCTCCCAACTTGTTTTCTTTAGATTCAGTGAATTGATATGGTTTTACTAAGATTCTGTCAACAATTGTTGAGCATCCAGTGTCTCTGAGACATAATGTTTCTTTTTCATTGACATAAGCTGGGTAGAAACTTAACTGTCCTTTACTATTCAACATTGTCGCTACAGTATGATTATATGCTGATCTTCCTCTTTCATAAGCTTTTCTTGGTGGACTGTTATTAGGCGAAAATCTTCTGTTATTTTCCTGTCTAACATTGTGAGAATAATTGAATTTCCTGCCCTGATTCCAGTCTTGTCTTCTGCTTGTTTGACTAAATTTAATATAATTTTGACAGTTTCTTCTTAAATGTTCTTCTTTTCCACAACTCCAGCAATTAAATATTCTTTTTGAGTCGTTTCTGTTTGTATTTTTTCTGTCTTTTATGGTTTCCCATAGCATATAAAATATTCTCACTGTAATTTTTATTTGATAATTTGGCATTGGGATGGCTATCCTTAAAATCTGAAATTGCAGTAACCAATCCCCTCATGTCTTTTATTTTTCTTTGCTTGATAAATGAATATAATCCTTCATTTGCCAAATTGAGGACTTATTCAATGACAATTAATTCCATAATAGCCCTTGTATCTTCCATGTTTATCTGTGTCAACCTCATCCAAGAAGTTAAATCTGCAAATAAATTGTCAGTCCATGCCTGAGGATCATCACTTGTTCTTAAATCAGCCTCATGGAATCTTTTCTATAGAAATAGAAATCTTCTGTTTTGTTAAAATGTCTTAAAAGTTGTTCATTGTTTCGTAGTCAATAATTTCTATATTTTGCAAACAAGCCAGGGAGTCTCTAGCTGAGCCTGTCACAGCTGAAAATAACTCCACCTTCCAATCACTCTTGTGAGTATTTTGTAAACAGCATTGAGTTTCAAATATTCTGATAAAATACTCAAAATTTTCCTTTTTGTTGTCAATTGGTTTTAATTTGATGCGAGGATGATTTTGATAATTCCTTGATCTTCTGTATGTGTTCTATTATTGATAAGATTGGCTGATTCCAATTTTTTCATTTCCAGTTCATGGGATCTTCTTGACGCCCTTTCATCCCTTTCTTCAATCTTCCCTCTTTCAATTTCAATTCTCTGTGTTTCTTTATGTACAAATTCCTTTAGTTCATCACCTTTATACCCCATGTCTTTAGCAATTGCTACCAATTCTCTCATAACTTCCATGGTTATGTGTATGTCAAAAGGTATTGTTATTATATTCGATTTAATCTATATAAATACCCAATTCAATCAATCAATTAAACAGGACTAAACAAAAACAAGTCACTATTTTCTTTAATTGATAGAAGAATTAACGAGAGAAATCACAAGTAATAGGCAACAAGACCATACTTAAATAAATAATAACACAGTAATTTACAGTAGATTAGACAATTTACAAACTTGACAATCACAATCTAATACAAATAATATTTATTTATTAAGAAGAGGGCAAAATTTCAATCTATACAGTGCTAATAACATTAATCCCTCAAGTTAACAAAAAATATTTAATCTAAAAGAAATTTAAAGCTGTGAGCACTGATACAAATTAATTCTTTACACTACACAACATGTAATACAATTAATAAAGTTAATCTTAAATAATGTTCTTTCTTCTTTTTTTACGTCTTGTTTTCAATGAATCTTTAGTTCTGGAACACTTATTAAATTTAATAATAATGTCCTCTTATCATACACATAGTCACAAAGATCACACTGTCTATTGCGATTATTTTAACACAGTAAATTTCAAATAAGTTCATCAATTCATATTTTCCTCCACACACATGGTAAGTTCATCAGCAAGGTATTCTAATTCACTTTTTCCTCCACACAAAAGTAAGTCATCAGCAAAGTAAATTCCATATTTTCATCCACTCATATGTAAGCTCAGGTCATCAATTCCACATTTTCCTCCACTCATATGTAAGCTCAGGTCATCACTTCCACATTTTCCTCCACATCTAGATATCTCTCGCCATCATAAGAATAAGAAGACGAGGTCACTCGAAATTGAAAAGGATGTCTGTCACTTTCACATAAAAGTTCGATTAATTTTGATTGTTAATAAAGTTTTTCACCAAATTTCTTGAATTAAACAAAATAGTTTACAATTAACAGTTCAGCAGTTGTTCCCGAAGGATTGGCTAAAGATATATCAGTAGTACTAGTCACTGGTAGTAGAGGCTGCCACATAGTTACATGAAATTTAAGTTGGCATCATTCTCTGGTTCATTTAAAACAAATTCTTAAGTATGGTCCTTTGAGTATTTTGTTTTCAGATAGTTTGATGACATATTTTTCTTTGGTGTCAGTAAAGAGCCTCAAACATCTTTCTTTTATTATAATAGATTCATTGTTTGTAACAACTAGGAGATGCTATCTTTTGCCTGAAGTGGACACTTTTTGTAATATTTAGGTCAGATGGAGGCTTGCTTAAAATAGAAGAGATGTGTTGATTTTTAAAAAAAAAGACATATTTAAAATTTTACCCTGATATATAATTTAATTTCTTCTTCTTCCTCTTCTATATCTTAAGGGCCCACGATCAATTTATTGATCATTTTGGCTCCTATGCATGTAGATCGGATTTGCAATGTTTCTGTTACTGGTGTTGATGAGGAAATCAGGCACTAGGGGTTTGAAGGCTTGAGGCAATAGACACAAATGTGTCTAGTGTTGTCGCATCAACCGTTCCTTTTGAAAGATTGTTCCAGTCCCTCATTGTCTTGGGCAGGAATGAGCAGCTCCTATACTGGCTTCTTGCTGGTATGAGCCTGAATTGCCTGTCATGGCCTCGTCGCTGTCTGGGGGAGACAAAATGATAATGCATGAACTTTCCAGAGATATTTCTCTCTTAATTTTGCTGCAATCATCATTATTGTACTAAATTGATGTAGTGTATCATAAGTGGGGAGATGTTTGGTAATTATGAAGGATTTTGTTAAATTATTTTTGATAATATGTTCCTGAGATTGTGTGGTGGAAGAAATACATTTCGGGCCTGGAAATGCCTGGATCCACATTTATGTTTTCCTTATGAGCGCTGCTGCTAGGTTGATCATGAAGTTTAATGTTTGTTTTTATTTGTGCACAAAAATGAATGTCTTCCTGTGCGCTGTGCGAAAGATAGATATGCTCATTACATGAGAACATTGTGTTGAGTGTTATTTTACTTTACGTCTGGTTGTTTTGAAACGTATCAAAGAAGAATAATCATTCTTAGACCAAGGTGGGCAACCTTTTTCCAAAATATGTAGCAAATGAATGAAAAGTAACATTCGCCACAATATATATAAATCATAAAACTAGTATTAAATCAAATGAGAGTTAAAACCGCAAAAGGCAGTGGCTCCGTCAGTTGTATATATTTATAATAACATTCAAATAATTGTATATATATTGTGCAATGTTATATATTGGCTGATTTATATGTATTCAAGAAAAAATAATATTTTTCAGCATGAAGTCCTGTCTTGATTAGTGTCTTGATAATTAATATCCTCTGTCTCATCTCTCTTTATGGGTTTTTTATTTGCAGTAATAGTTTTTTTTAATATACTTATAAATTCCATTTCAGATCCTCGTACCCGTAACTGGTTTTTGGTGTCTAACTCTCCATATCCAGTATGGGTTCTAACATTCCTGTACCTGGCCTTAGTGGCACTAGGCCCGCGAATTATGAGAGATCGCAAGCCATTGTCCATACAATGGTTTATGGTCATTTATAACTTGGGACTAGTTGGTCTATCTATCTACATGTTTGTGGAGGTAATTCTTAGAATAATTTCATATATTTTATTTGTGTATTTAAGTTCCTTTTTCTTATGGGTAATTTGAAAAAAAAAGTTAGTCATTTGTCAAAAAGATTTAGGTGCAACTAAACATTTCCTTTTAGTATCCTCTTTTTAGTTATACACAAATGATTTAATGTCCAGCTTAGTTTGTTTATATCATTTCCCTCCTAAAAATAAATAACTACGTGCTCACATTATGTAAACCCTCCATGTTAACATGGAAATTTGTACTCAAAGAGTTTACAAAAAAAATTGTTTTGTTGTAACCCTGGTGTGCAATAGCCTTTTGTTATAGCCACACATTAGGCTCCCTGGTTGCTACAATAGCCATATTTTCTAAATTAATTGATATTTTAGCTACAGACTTTTAATTGTAGACGGCAATTGTATTGTAGAGAATTTATGACAACAATTAAAGTAAGTAAAATGGAGAGAGATGTTTTCAAATTCTTTTTTCTGAAAATATTTGCAATTTTACTAATTCTTGAAATAAAGCACATCGTATTCCTTTATTTAACCCCAAAATTTACATCTATAAGTCGGGAACAGTGGTTACTGAAGAGAGGGTTAACTTATATAATTAAGAGGACTCATCAAGAACAATGTAAGACACGAAAAATTTGAAACCGAAAAATGCTGCAGCAAGGCTTATTTTTTTTAGTGAATATGGGAGTTACTGCTATCACATTAGTTGAAATCCAAGCAATTTGATCAATTTGACATTTTTTGCGTTGACCTTGACTTTCACAAAAAAAATATTTGTAATAAATACATGGATTTTTTTTATTACTCTAGATTCTTCTCAGTATCTGGGATGCTGGTTATGATTTGGTTTGTGCAAACTATAACAAAGAATCTATGGCTAATCCCAAAGAACTCAGAGTAAGTTTTCATGTACAGGACTATGGTCAATGGCTATTATTGTTATATGTATAATTTAAATTGCATAATATATTGATATTTATAGTTGCTGAATCATTAGTTCATTATGTTGAAAAACTGAGATGATGGTTGCTATTTTTAATTAAAAAATCTTAACCCACGAACTGTGGCATAGATCATTCTGTAGTGTGGAAGCTTTTCAGAGCTTTTTCAGTGCCTTTAGAAATAGCATTAAATGACATAGAAATATTGACACAAGACCCCAGTAAGTAAATATTTTTAAAAAGGTAAATTGATGGGGATCAATTTGGCTATACAGTGGAACCTCTCATAATTCGTTCCAGACTCTTACTCGTTAAGTGAAACACTCGTTAAACGAAACAATTTTTCCCATACAAATCAATGTTAATTCGATAATGTGTTCCATGCTGAAAAAATACTAATTTTTCAAAAAATTTGATTAACATTTATTCAAATAAAATTACTTATGAATTGTTAAGGAGTGTAACAACTTGGAATACAATTTAGATTTGAAACAAAAAACGTAAATAAAAATATGAATTTATGACAAATAATTAATCCTTTTTAACTAGAAAACTGTCTAAAGACATTTGTTTTTGCAGATGCTTCAAAATTTGACAAAAATGTGTCACAGCATTATCATTGAATAAATTTGTAGCACGAAAAGCCACCACCTTATTAGGGTGATGCTTCTCAATGTACGATGCAACCGCTTCCCATGCTTTCAGCATTTCTCTTATTGTGCTAGAAGATTGTTACTCTGCTACTTCCTCCTCCATTAATGAGCTCTCCTCCATAATTTCTTGCTGTGAAACACGATGCAACTCCATAAGCTCTTCAGTGGTCAACTCTTGACTGTGCTCTTTCACAAGCTCTTCAATATTGTTGTTGTCCACCTCGAGTCCCATGATATTGGCCAATGACACAATCTCGTTAACTGTAGACTCCGCAGGTACTGTTTCACAATCACATTCAACAACACTCTGGCCAAAGTTTTTTCCAAGCAAAAGTGAGGAAAAGGGACTTCCCCTTTCTGCTTAACTCGTTATGTGAATGTCGCTCATTAAGGGAGCAACTTCTTTACATTTTTTTTTTGCTCGTTATGCGAATTACTCGTTATGAGAGGTTCCACTGTTTTGCCCACCCGTAAAAATTTTTTTTTTTTCAGTGTCCTTGACCTTGGAGTGCTCAAGAAAACAAAAGATCAACAAAATGTCTTGCATTCAAGTGCTTATAACATAATTAATTTTTATAGATTCCATTAAAATACTATGTAAATGTTGTAGCCAATTCATTTATCTTTCAGAAAATGTATAGATTGTTAAGGTTTTGATTACAATTAAGCCTCTGAAAGCAATTTTAGTAATTTTAGGTCATTTATTACTGAACCTGGAACCACAGCTAAAACCAAGTACACCATACAAAATTTCCGGCAAAAAAGTTATTATTGACTTTTAAGCATTTAAAAAGGAACTGTGGAACCCATTTGGATTGTTTAACTATAAAATTTATTAGTTCTGATCTTTAATCTGTAGCTTCTGTGACTAAAATTCAGTCAGTCCTTGCCCAACCTACAGGCCTGGCTCGATGTCTACCAGTAGGCCTACTTCAGTATCACTAAGACTAGTATCAGATTCACTAGAAGAAGACTCCGAACTGAGATCGTCATGGGGAATGTTAAAATCATCATCAGTATCACTTAAATCCTCTCCTAAAATGCTCTCAAAAATATTTCTATTAGTTATCGTACTGAAGGCCCAGCCATGGCTTCATCCATTTTAGCTTTAAAAAAACAGCGATATAAAACTCCGATTAAAAATTACTTATTAAGTTATCAACAAACAGCTTGACCCTGAAGATGATTTAATTATTAATAAAAGGAAGTGGCTATAATTCCAATTAAATATTGGATCTGACCGTGTTTTTTAATCAGCCAATTTTTTCGGCCACCTCAGTACAGAATGAGAATATCGGCCGACCACAGTTTGTGGGTTAAAGTTGTCAACTGTAATTCATGTATTATGTTTCCACTAAAGGGGTGAAAGAATAATTAGGCTTTTTATTTTGTGGTGAGACAGAACTTAGTGTAATTTCGGATTGTCAGCAAGTAGCATCAAGAGCATCACTCTGAAATAACTCATTGTTGAAACCCAAATTTTAATTACCTATATTTTGATATCTGCTTTTTCTAGAATAGATCTTCAAAAATATTCATTTTAAAATATTGTCAATGAATGTCAAAATGGACCTCTTTCTGGGAACTAAAAATTAAAGTATTTTTGGGTTGTAACGTGAACTTTCAAGCAGTAGCAATGAAGTTTTAATTTAAATACCACTGATTGGAAATTACACGTTATTTTACAAGAAAAAAGATTTAGCTCTCAAAACATTTTCGATTTACAGTAAATCTAAAAGAGCTTTATTTGAAGAGGGCTTTTGGAAAATATTATATGGATAAATGAGTAAAAACTTAACATATTTTAAGCATTAAAAAAAACAACCTTAGAACATGTAATTCAATGTTAATGTGTATTTATAAAAAAAAAATTTAATATTGATTTAAAATTTTCTGTTATTGCACAATTTTTAAAAAAAATGTTAACTTTTTCATTGTCAGGTTGCAAAAGTACTCTGGTGGTATTTCTTTTCCAAAGCTATTGAACTGTTGGACACTGTGTGCATGATTGCCCGCAAAAAATTTGAGCAGGTTACTTTTCTACATTGGTTTCATCATGCAAGCATGCTCAATATCTGGTGGTGGACCATGATGTTTATACCTGGTGGAATGTGTAAGTCCAATAAAAACTGAAACATATTTGAAAAGAAATGCCAGGTTTCACTATTGCTAATGGATAAAAAATAATTAGGTATCTACTCCTTTTTTCTTGTTGCAGTAACTTTTTTCTGATAAATCAAAAACATAATATTTTTGTACTGTATAATTTATGTCAAGGGTGGCCAATAGGGCGTCCCAAAAAAATGAAGTTTTGAAATGTTGATGTCTCACCCCACAGAATATGTCTGTATGGTAACAGTAGTTAACCTGCAAAATTTCAGCTCATTTGGACAATGTTTAGAGGTCCCCCAAGAGGTTTAAAGTTCCAGATTTTGGTGTAAAATCATTCGCGGTCAAATCTAATACAGCGTTAATGTTGCATTATATGCGAAACTGATATATTAAGTAACAAATTGATGCTTAGTATTGTTTATAATATTAAATGAAACAAAATATATAAATCTTGAATGGTTTATATTTTTAAATTTGAAATTTAAGTAAAAAATTATGAAAAACAAAGTTTTATTCATTTTTTCAAGTTAATTCTTGAAAGAATGTCAATCTGCTTGAAAAATAATAATAAGCAATGCAATTAAGCATTCCTAATATTTATCTTGTACTTTGTACTGTAGGTTAGACAAAAATTTAAAAAAGTTCTTCAAATTTAAATTTTAGCCAGCTGTTCACGATTACACTCTGCAAAATTTTTCCGATGTTTGTCAACCACTTGGAGCAAAAATTGTTTTTGTTCTTCGTCCTTGGTGATACTGTCATTGAAATTTTGTATCAATGCTACACCTCGCTCTGCAGAGTCATTGATACAAGCCAGATTCTTTACAAAATCTGCTGCAACTTTAAAAGATGGTGTATCTGACCATGCTTCAACAGGAACATCTAGAAAACTGGCATCAATGTTGGATGTTTCAAAAAATGTGGTAGAAGCACGCAAATCAACAACACTTTTTGGTAGTGTTTTTATGAGATGCGGTCCACGTTCTGATTGCATTGTCCGAACAAGGCCAGTTTTTTCTTTGTCCGACAAAAGGGTTGAAAATAACACAAGCGTCGACAGTTCCGGACTCAAGTACCACGAGTGACGCACCATCATTTTCAATCCAGTCGATCGAAGAACAGCATCATCATATTCGTATAAACGCTGTATCAACAAGATATCATTCACAGGTGCATCTGCGGTGAGCCTGCATGAAAACCATGATTGAAGATAAACACATATGGTAAACCGATTAAAGCGCTGAATACCTTGTAATTCTCGAGCTGTTAACTGAAAGATGGTTTCGTTGCCTGCAAACAATAGTTCGATTTTCAATGCATAGATTGCTTTCGCCATCCACCTTGCCCTATGTAGGGCACCAGGTCTGCGAATGCTGACATCAACCTCCAACCCAACCATTTGTGCAGCAAGCAGAAGAAATTCCAAATAATCATCACGTGAATGACTGACCTCAAGTTGACATTTGATAAATTCTTTAATCGAATCGGACACGATTATCAAAGGGGCGGATCTGGCTTCGGGTGTGTGGTTTAATTCTGGCCATTTTTCTCGAAACCTCTTAAAAAACAAAATCTCTGGTCCAGTGGATGGTCCAAGACAAACATTGAATGCATCGGAAAGGAGTACTTCCAACATGTGATGACGGCATGCCATCCATAATAGATTACGTCCCAGGGCTACTTCTAACAGAGTGCAAGCTCCATTGAGTCTTCCAGTATTGGAAGCCGTAGTGTCGAAGCACATGCCGATGACCATAGATTCGCACTTCCACGATTTGATATGTTCATATACTGCATCAGCAGCTGCCCGTCCTGACCCGGACCCGGATGCTAACTTGGGAACACCAAGAAGCTTTGTAGTGCCATCGACAAGTGATGAGAGCAGGACAGGTAATCGATCGACGTTGTTGGTAACCTCTCCGGTAACATCGGGCAATAGCTTACCATCCCAATGAACAATTGATTTTGAGGGAATATAGTCTTCTTTTATACGTGCTGCAGCTTGTTGACGACGAAGCTTGCGATGACGATGCATTGTGCTCTTGGAAAATACTGTGTCAGCTTCGTTGAATGCGGATGCAAGTATCATTGTAGATTTTCTAATGCTGGTGTTCGTTCTGTCCAGCACTGCAGCAACTTTTGGTGATGTGATGCTTCGTCTGCGATGTCGTGTTGCAGAATTTGTTTTGCTTGAGGATGCTGATTGGATGACAAATTCTTCATCAGGTTCTGCATCGTCACTGGAATCCCGACAAATGGATGATGTCATTGAATGTGTGTCTGTGTCACTGTCAGAACCACCTACATCCAGTTGCTGTTCTATGTCTACTGCTGACTCTACACTTGAACCTGATGGTAACCCATGGTGACGGCACTGTGGTGTAGCATCTTTTGCTGCATCACCAACATCCCTGATAAATTGTTTCTGACGCTCAGCAACTCGTTTTTCTTTAGCAGCAAGCTTTTTGTCCACTGTTTTGCACATTAGGTATTTTATATGTTTTCTCGCATTTATTACATTTTCTAATTAAGAATCACACAATTTCAACTCTAGTTAATGGTAGCAATGAGGTAAATAAAAGTATATTTAAACTTCATTTTATTCATATATGGCATGCAAAAACTGCAAGTTATTTGAGCCACGATTTGTCTGGATTTTTATGTTGGCCTAATACTGGAATTGTAAAAGCTCTTGGGGGACCTCTAAATGTTGTTCAAATGAGCTACAACTTCACCAATTCACTCATTGTACCCAAGAGACACATTTCAGGGGGTGAGACACCAAAGATTAAAAAAAAAATTTTTTCCGAGCATTTCTGGGACGCCCTAGTGGCCAATGGTCTAAACTAAGTCAATCTCAAGTTTGTGGTCTGCAGTACAATCCCCACCAAAACTCAGTCCAAGAGAAGGAAACTCTGAATTCAAACCAGGAGATGGAGTCCTGTAGGCAGGATATCATTGACCCAATGAAACATTCGGACAACTCCTAGAATGTTACTGGTGCCAAGCTGTATCATCCACATAGGATGTTCCCTAGGGTTATCCAGCGGCATGTAGAGAGGCTGATATTCCTCAAAAGAATAATCCAATGCCTTGAGGATTATGTCCTGCGAAGTCTACACTCGTCACATTGTGAAGGACGTATGCCAGCCAATGTCTCCATAATTGCCTTGTACATTTTCTTTGGTTGGTGTCCACAGAAGAGTTTTTGTCCCTTAAGTTATGTTCACACTGTAGATTTGTTACTGAGATTCTCAGCTGGGTAGGACTGCAGATTTGTTACTGAGATTCTCAGCTGGGTAGGCTTTTGGAATATAAATTGCGAGATTTCCCTGACCACCTGCTACTCCATGTAACAAAAACAAGGCCAACAAGTTTCATTTTCCAATTTCCGGGGTTTGTTCAAAATTGCAAGATATAGTCGACTGGAAATATACAGACAAAATCACATTTTTATCATTGGGCATCCATAGCTGTCAGCTGTTTTTTAAGCATGCCAATGATACTACAAATAATTTTTAACCATGCCATTATTTATAGTATTGAATGGTAGCCCTACCAGTGGACATAGTTTGAAAATTAAAATTTGTGATATAAATTTAAAATTATTTTTCATTGATGTGGTGCAAACAAAAAAAAAAAGATTAGAGAAACAATGTCTTTGTTTTAAAAGGGAATCAATTGGAAATCTAAACATTTTTTACCCATATTTTTCCCTGCCAGGAGGAATAGCCACTCAAGTATGGAGAGAATATCCTCACTTGATCCTTATTAAGTTAGTGATTCAATATACTCCCTTCCCCGCCAACCAAATAACAGTTATATTTTGATTACATGATTATTTATACATTCTATTTATAATGCAAATTGAAAAGAAACAAGCCAAAATTGATTCATTTAAAGAGCCACATGCAGCTGTAAAGTTGGCGACAGATGTGCTTGCCCATAAATTCAAAATTGAAAAATATAAACAAAAGTTCTGCATCAGAACCCATAGTTGTAGCTGCTCTGTGGAATATCTCTGTTAGTCATAAGTTTCTCAAGATTGAGAAAATCTCAATGATGAATCCATGTTACATCAACATGGACTCATCACTGAGATTTGTTGCTTCAACAAGTGAACAAAGTGAACATACTTAGCCAACTCTCTCATATCATTCAAACTTTCATAAAAGGTCAAGGCAAAATGAAAGGGATTTATGAGGATTAAAAATAAAAAAAATAAAAAAGTTGAATTTGACAATTCTTTTTAAAAATAAATTTTGATTTCTTTAAATTTGTAATACAATTGTGGGAATAAATTGTTGTCCTTTGCCTCATTATCGCCCTGCTGCTAGCTAATTTCCTTGTTTAAGCCCAATACCTTAACGAAGGGAAGTAACTAGATTTCAGATTTTTAAAAAAAAAGTAAGTATTAGGCACATTTGGAGAAATTTAAAGAAAAAAATTAAGGTAACAATTACATTAAACTCTATTTATGTACTTAGTAAAAGCAAGTGGTAGATAATATGTTAGATGAATAGTGGCAACATCTACTCCTGTTATCTGTTTTATTAATATTTAAAGTTTCTCATAACAATTGAATCTTGAAAAGTGTACAAAAGACAAGGAACTTGTTGATTTATGATACCTAGCATTATTCAGTGTAACTGGAGAAGTTATAAAAAAATCTATAGTAAATACTAACTAGTGTGCCACTTTGCAATAAAGATGTTTATTCTCCCATTAATACATCATATCACTGATCAGATATATATATAAGTGAATATTTGTTTGTTATATGTTCTGCAAAGACTGTTAAATGGATTGATGAATCTTTAACAACCTTGGCACATATATCCAGAATCAAATACTGGGGTGTTTTGGACTTTAAAAAATATTCCGCTAGGGGCCGGGCGGGGGCCTTAACTTTGTGTTTTTTCTTATATGAGCTATATAGTATAATTACCAACAAATACTCCTACATGAATGGATGGATCTTGACATACACTTGATTATCCCTATATCAAATTCCCCCTATATCAAATTCTGAAGCGTACTGAACTCCTAATATCCACTTCTTTTAAGGAATATGAAATACTAAAAGGCTTAGAAAACACTATAGGTTCTCTGTGATGGATAATTGATGGATCCAGATCTAGCTTGGTAGCAATACCCTTCATTGTCCGTAATGAAATATTAGTGGATTTAAAATGAAAATGAATCCGATCCAGTCAGGGCCAGTCTAGAATTTTCCATAAAGTTCGATAATTTAAAAGGCTAGATCTGTGGTATTTTTAAACCGATTTTAATTTGAAAATGTGTACATTTTTGCCAACTTGTCAGAGCTGGATGTTTTGCCTCTTTTCTTGGCTACAAGTTCATTTTGGGAGTAATGTTCTGTGTCATTGAGATTCTCTTGATGGACTGCAAGTGCTCATCAGTAATACGACTCCTCTGTGATGTTTTGTTCATCTTCATCACAGAAAACAGCTGCTCACATAGATATGTGCCATTGGTGACGGGATCAAATGAGGAATGGGATCACATGGGGAAATGGAATCACACTGGGAAAAGGGATCCCACTGCAAAGAGAATCCTCATGGGTACATGATCCCATCGTAAAAAGGGATCTCATCTGGGAAACAAGATCCCATCATGATCCTTTCTATACTTTCCTGGAGATTCTCTTAGTATCACTGAGACATCCTTTTATACGTTTTATGAAGTTTCTAGATTAATACAGAAGCTAGGATTTTTTCTAAAATCTTTTTTGACATTATATAAATGTCCTTATCAATTATTATCATGTTAATTATATTTCCAAGATTTTCCTTGAATGTTATGGAATAAGAATTAAAGATAATTTTGAATGTTTCTAGAAATTTCCTGAATAATTGTCAAGTATTGTGGCCTTAACTATATACATAAATGAAATTGATAGATCTTGGCCAAAGTTATTAAACATTTAATTCATAATCCCACCGGGGAACAGGATCCCACCCGTAACATAATCCTACTGAGATCAGGATCTTACCAGGAACTGGATCCCATTGTGAATGGGGAAACGTGATTGAACCCGGAACGAGATCTATTAGGAAACAGGATTCCATTAGGGAATAGGATTCTATCTGGAAAAGGGATCAATCCCATCGGGAATGGGATCCTATCGGGAATTGGAATCTATAGGGGAATGGGATGCCATGGGTGAACGAAATGTTTACAAAAGCTATTATAAAGTTTTCTCTATACTTTAACAAAACATTTTTTACAGGGCCTTAATTTCGATGTTAACTTAAGGGCTATAGAGGTTTTTTTTTAAATCCTGGGAAAAATAGCATCCCAGGAAAAATAGCATCCCGGGCTATGCCGGGTATAAATGATTTTAAATCAGAATTTTCTTAAACTTTTCAGCATGGTTCGGTAGCTGCATGAACTGTCTAGTACACGTAGTCATGTATTTATATTATGGTCTCTCTGCCATACCTTCCCTTAGAAATAAACTGTGGTGGAAGCGATACATCACTCGCTTTCAGCTTGTAAGTATTTATTTTATACTTTGTTTTTGTGATGAAGATAAACTAAAATAATATTTCTTACTTTTGATGTAATTTAAACCTTAAGAAAGTTATATAAATTAACATTTTTAAATACCTCGCCAACTTTTTTAAAGGTGATACTGGTATATGTAGATAGCTAATTATTTAAGTGATTGATGAAAAAAATTTAGAGGTATTGTTTTTAAAATGTTTGTAACATATAAAAATTACCTAGCCATCTTACTGTATTTTGATTCAAGTATACAAGCAGTTTTTTTCTTTTTTTTGACAGCTTCAGTTTTGTATTACCTTCACTCACACAGTCAATTCCATTCGCGTGGGTTGTGATTTCCCTAGATGGGGCCAAAATCTGCTAGCAGGTTACATGGTTGCAATGCTCATTCTCTTTGGTAACTTTTATATGCAAGCATATATCCGTCGAGGCAACAAGGACACTACCATCACATCATCACCCAGCCAAGAAAATGTTGGTGCCTATGATTTGAAGAAACTGCAGCAATCTAATGGACAAGTAGAGGCCAATGGACATACCTCTCGAAGCAAAGAAGATTAAATTAAGATTGTTGAATTAGTTTAAAACTGCCTGGGTGATACATGCCTTTTTGGTTCATAGAGTTTAGTATAATTTTGATAGTAACTTTCTATCCTAATATTTTTAATAGCTATTTAATGTGCTGAATACCTATTTAAAGATAAAAGGACAGTTCTTACCCAATGCAAGTGCAATATGGACAAACAAAAGAAATATTTAAATATCACAAACTTAAATTTAAAAAGTGCTATTTCAGATCTTATTATGAGCTATTTATTTTTTATACCTGGTAGAAATTTAAATGATCTTTAATCTTTCTTCAGGCTATATCACCATTGGCAGTTAAGTATTTATTTACTTAGGCATTTAAATCATTTAAAACATTGATTTACCCTGATGGATCAGTTGAAAAAAATTTGCTTTAATTTATTTTAGGAATAACTCCAAACATATAAAATGGGGTAATATATAATTGCACAAAAGCATAATTAGTTTCCATCTCATACTTAATAAAAATATGTAGAAGAATAACAAAGGCAAAAATATCTCTTCTCTTAAAAATGAGTAAAGTCATATTCATGTACTTTTTCTGCAGATTAGGAACCTATGGGAATTTAAAAAATTTGTTTCTTCATAAGTCATTTGTTATTTCATATTTCCTTATTTCGGAAGCACAGACAATATGTAAAGACACCAGAACCAAAAACCTTCCTTAAAATTTTTAAATTGAAAGTTTGTGTTGGGTTTCTGTTGCAGAATAGTTGTGTATCATTTATGACCATAATGAGACAAAAAAGAAGGCTAATTTCTGTCATTATTATTTGATCTTTAATAAAAGAATGGCCATTTATTTAAATTGATTTAAAAACCTGTTGATGAAATTAGCAATACTAAAATAATTCTTAAATATTTTGGGGAAAAAATTAAGGAAAGATGAATGATTTAATATATAATTTTTAAATATTCTTCATACCCTTATTTAAGACCTTGAAATTTGATACATAATTCCTTGGTGCAGTAAAACTTGCAAACAAATTCTGTTTAATTGTGTATATATTTAACTTTTAAGACCAATACAATCATTGGTAATTGCATTTTTTAAAAATAAATTTCCCCAAAATTTGTGGAGCTCTTTGCCACTACTGTCATAGGTCACTGGTATCTGCTAATGATATAAGTGCAAAGCTGTAAGTTTAAGTTATGTTTTCTAGTAATAAATTTTGTGGCTCAGCGGTATTAGGACAATCAAATTTCTGTCATATTATTTAAAAATGTAATAATTTTTCTTGTAACATTCTTACTGAGCATTGTACAATACCCATACAATGTGAAGCAATTTTTCTTGAATTAAAAAAATAAAAGTTTTTAATTTGCCATTTTATTATACGGTACATTATTTTCGTTTTAAAAATTCAGTAAGTATCAATTCAATATGATTTTTAATGCTAATTTTAAAATATTTCCAACCAAGAATTATTGTTATAACATTAAGTGGTGATATTCAAAAATGAAATTCACAAAGTATTAATTTAATTTTTCAAAATATTAAACAAAAAGTTTGGTGCATTGACAATAAAATACGTTCTTTAAAACATATACCGGTAACTTAAGTTAAAAAGATCTTGCTCTATCCACCGAGATTTAAGTCAAATCTATCATTACATTATTACAAGAATCCCATATATGCATTTTGAGTACTTAATTTAGGTAAGGCGTAATCATATATTTTGGTGTGTATTTTTTTGAAGCTTTTAAAAAAAAAAAACAAAGATGCCTACCATTACCATTGTTATTACAAATTTTTAAGGCTATTCACAAGGCTATTCACATCAAATAACCTATTTTTGTGTGACTATTCCATGTTAAAAGTATAAAATTACACCTCCCACAAACTTTTATATTTCACTTTTGATTTATTCAGACTACTGTCTGGACAATTGTATTAAAACTAGTCGGTAAACATGAAAGCAACATTTATTTTCATTTTTAGAAGCAGCACATGAATTTAAATTAACCTACATTGTTTGTATTGGCCTGATGTTAACATATTGAACATCGATAGAATGAAGTTCGGCTGAAATAATTTTGCCATTGTTTTGATGGCCACTCATATTTTTTAACAAAAAAACCCCCATAAAAATGAAGTTTGGCTGAAATAATTTGTACATTGTTTTGATGGCCACTGTCATATTTTCAACACACAAAAAAATATAATGTTCTACCATTAGGGGACCCTAAAAGCTACATCTGCCTGCCTGTCAGATGTTTAGTGATTGACCTTTCAATTAACACTTAATAAACATCTTGTATTCGGCAGCACCAGTAGTAATTATTAACATCATTCGATCAGTAGATAATAATTTTTTTTAATACAAATTTTAAGGCTATAACCCCCAAAACTGCATATTAATTATTAATTAAACGGCAAAATTACATCTTCAAACATTGTATTGTCATCATTTATCTAAAATCAGTTTTTATTTTTATATGATATAGTGTACTTATCGAAAGTTACTAGTCTATTGATTTCTTGTGTATGTGTGCTATTTGTATAAAGAGGTTTTAGAGTTATTTATTAATGAATGTCTTTAGAAAGGATGGGATTTATTGGGCTTGAAATCTCAATAGTCTTGTCATCAACCCTTACAAATGTAAATGTGTTTATTCATTTTTTAAATTTGTAAGACTTCAAATCCATTAAATTGTTAAAAATGAAGAGAAAACAAATGTATGTTCAAACAATAGATATGTTGCTAAACAGTTTAATTGTCAATAACTGGAGTGGAAAGCTCACTGCCCATTAAATTTGAAGTTGTATCTATAAATAAGAATTTTTATAATTTTTAAATGCATAACAAATAGATGAGATTACAAGCTGTATACTCCATTTTTGCATCCATATTTAGCTCAGTTCTGGTGAACAGGAGGGGCTTTTACTTGACTGAGAAATATTATTTTCTAAACTTAACTTTATTAAAAACTTTATATCAATAGCGCACCTGGGGGTGGAGGGTTGTTAAATTTTAAAAAATGTCATAATGGGGTGGAGGGGGGGGGGATTGTGTCGAGACAGGTATATAAATGCACATTCTGCAATAGTTATCTTGAAATTCAAATAGTCCATATGTTAACTATTGCAAATAAAGGCACCTAAAAGTTGTGCAATCCATGATTTCTAATTATATTCCATAATTTCCAGGTTATAAAAATATTATGACTATGTTTCATTATTATTCTCATACTGTTGCTTTGTGTTTTCACTATAGACCTCACTAGCTATAATAAATAGCCCAGTAACAACTTTAAGTGCACAATCGGTTTGTATTTATCTCTGGGACACAATTATTTTCAAAGACTAAACCAAAGATTGCATTTGTTACACCAAACAGAGGTGGAAACCAATGACTTAATTTTTAACATGGTTTAAAAGTGTGCGGCGGGGGTTGATCATTTGTAGGTATGCATTGGAGGGGGAAAAAAGGGGGGGTAGGGTGTCCAAAAAAGTACCAACACAAAAATAATGGGGTATGAAAATGTGACTTTTTTTTATATATATATCAAATATCAGTCAGTAATATATGGATAGCCATATGCTTTTTGCTTTTGTTGAGCATGTCAGAGTAAATTTATTCTGAAACTAAGGTTACCAGTTACCCTTTAGAATTTAGTTATGATGGGAATTGTAATAAGATTGCTGTTTTCAAACAACTGATTGTTACTTTCTGCATTTTTTTTTTCAATGTTCGTGATCTTTAACAATATTTTAAAATTACTGAATTAGGCACAAAGTAAAAAGCTGGAACTAAGCAGTTAAAATTATGGTGAAAGGGCTAAATAATAAATATGTAAATAGTCAATGCAAGATCTTAAATAAAGATGTTTGAGCAAAGAAAATTGATTTTTGATTTATTTTGTTTTCGAATAAACCTAGTTTGACTATAAATGTAAGAAAATATCACAATTTCTGTTTTTGTAACGTTTTAGTACCGTTAATTACTATCTTCCTAATGCACTTTGCAGTATGGTACAGAATAATACTCTCCATATTGATGGCCTATGACTGGCACAACTCAAATTTCCATTTCAAAGAAATAGTTGTTTGTGAAAGCTTGAAAGGAAGGGAAAAAAATAGGACAACTAAAATAAACATAAGGTTTTTAGCTAGAAACCTTCAAATATCCTGCTCAATTTCTTTCACACAGCTTGTATAATATGGTTTTATTGAGTGTACCAAGTAAATGAAATTTTTAGAAGTTAATTTTTTTACTTGTTAAAGTTAAAGCTAGCAGATGATGCTTTATGAATTATTATTTTATAGAGTTTTAGCATATGAGGCAAAAGGTTCAAATTGAAATAATAATGGTACCGTTATTTTAAACATATTTGGAATTTTAGAATAAATTTGTATCATAATTTATCATTTTAAAAAAAAATCATTCAACTCTTTAACTTGATGATCAATGTTTGGAAAAGTAGGTAGCAATAATATTTTTGTCCTCCATCATATGGCCTGGTCTTTTGTTTTAAAGAAAAAGCTGTTCCTCAGTCAGTAGACTTAGCTAATGAATCCAAGGGAACATCAAGTGGATGCAGGGTGGTTGCAGGAGTTGGCAAAATATTAACTATCGCCTAAGGTAGTATCTAAGTTGTTTTTTGTGTGGTTGCCTCCCTTAAATCCATGGAAGGTGAGGCAGGTTTGCAGTTTCCTTCTCTATGAGCTACCATCCAACTATTGGTACCAACTGTATTTTAAATGAAAAATATCACACAAAAAACAACTTAATACTCAATATCCAAAGCAACTCAAAAATTCATTAAGTGTATGACAACGTTCATATTTTATTGGGATTTAAAAAAAAACACATTTGTAACAAACATGTTTACACGACATGCTTATAACAGTTTTGATTGCCTCTTAATCTAGACATATATTTAAAAAAGAGGAACACCACAATTTTCAAATTGTCCATCTAATAACACATTGGAAAGCATAGTGAGACTAATAATTAAAATTTAAAATTAGGCTTTTCCAAAAAATTACTTAAAATACACTAACGCTAGACCTTATTTTAGAAAAGTAAAAATACTGGTCCAAATTTAAGTCTTGTACTTGTACAGGTAATTAGGAATTAAAAGGTTAAATTTTGTATGAATTTATTTAATTAAAAGTATACATTTTAGCAAAAGAAAGAACTACATTTTTGAGGCTGTCATTTGAAACACACAAAAAAACTACTTGAAGACATACTTTAGAATCTTTTTAATGTTACAATAAAGCCAAATGAATTAAGCCCTTTAAATAAAATGGATACAGATTTGATGTTAAGACCATTAAGTGCACTCTTCTTTCGCCATTCCAACATACTGAAAGAAATTTTAAATATTATTCCCTTACACACATGACAATGACAGTATAGAAAAATTACATGTTGCTGTTCACCAGTTCCATTTGTACGAGTTCTCAATTATAATAGTATTTGCCATAATTTTAAAAGAAACACAAGTCGCAATATTTAATAAGATTTAAAAAATCACAGAAAAGGAGCCCAGTCTTGTTTCTTTCTTTATTCTTAACACTAACAAGATGTAGCAATCCAAAATTTTCGACATATTTCATATTTTAAATTACTTTTAAATATATCTGTATACATTGTATACATTGTAATAATTGAAGTACTGAAGCAATTCATTTCCATACAAAGACAATTAAAAATCCATCACCAGGTCTGGTCCCTACTCTAAAGCTGAACACTTGAAAATATGAGCACTACATAATATATTTTTTAAAGCCCTTTTGTCAGATAGTCTTGTTTTTTAAAAATAATTTTACCATTCATCATTGCTACTTACTAGTATTTTTAAAATGCATTTATAAAAAACTAACTTTGTGAAATAATTTTGACTGGTAACTTACAAAACTTACAGTTCTGAATTTGAAAATGGGGTTAGACAGGTCAGGTGTTTTCATCTTAAAGGGCAATATTAAAAATGCTTATTCTCTTGGAAAATACATTTTACCAATGGTGGTGCAGAAGCTCAATCTAAAACCTTACACTTATTATAGACTTTCATCAATTAAAAAAACAACAAATATTAAACTATAGAAATAAATTTCATTCTCACTGCTTTTGACAATTGACATTGACAAAATGTTTAGCATTTTAAAAAAATGGATATTAGAAAGTTAATTAGTCTGTCTGATGCTTTTACGGTTCTTTTAAAAATTTTGTTTAAGATTTACATTTTTAAATGTCTAGTCTACACAAAGCTTAGACAATTGAGCTCTTGTATGCTGCTTACAAATAAAAAAAAATGTTAGCCCATTTCATTTCAAAATATTAAGTTAGTCTAATTCTTTTTTTCAATAATATTTTTAAAAAATTAATACTTAAACTCAAATATATACCAAGACAAATTATGATAATTTTATAATCATTTAGATTGCAAAGGTCCTTCTATGTTTTAAATTACATTCAAGGTTCTAAATAAATCTATTTAATAGTAGTCTAAGTCATATAATTTGATTGGGATAGACTACATGATGAGTAAAACTGTAAATCTTATACTACTTATTGCAAACATATCCAAGAACCAAGCACACTAAAACTAAAAAACAACAATAATTTAAACATTTCAAATTATTGTCTTTAGCTAAACTAGTAGCACATAATATACAAGAAAACACAAGCTTGTTTCCTTAGATGATATAAACAGTTATTAATCACACACATGACAGTGGATATATACTAGTGCTCAATCATTGTTTGTGTTTATGTACAAAGCAGGAAACCAATATTACAATGTTATAAGAAAGCATACTCATTATATTGTACATTGCTATAGTATGTACAAGTAACTAACATCATTTGCTTAATTTTAAATAACTATCAACACAGACCAGCACTCAATATTTGAACTTAAGGCAATATATCTATTTAAAAAAAAAAGAATGGAATAATTTTAATAAAATAACTCATAATTAACAAATTAAATAAGACCAATGGACAACAATCAGCTACATAAAAGCCATCTGAATGTTTTTAAAGACTAGATGCTCTTTATAAAATATAAAAAGTATCATCAATACTCAATTTCAAAATCTCTCATTTTCTTCATGAAAGTTGCGTTAAATAATATTATTTCAACAGGAATTAATTAATAAAAATGAATTTTACAATACAATTGCTACAATTACAATATAGTTTCTAAATGTATTAAAACTGCAGTTTCTTTTAAACTAATAATCAGCATTGACTATCTATGAATGTTTAAATAGTTAATTAAAATTAATTAACAAAATGATCGTGGGCCCCTCAAATATCAGAAGAAAAAAAGAAAAAAAAAAGATTTATGACTTCTTACTGTTTATGCATTAGTTTGATCCCAAAAATTAGTCACATTTTCTCCTGATATTAAGCAATAAAATTGGACCATACAAATAAATATAAGTTCAGTTCTTTTTCTAAATGTCTTTTGCCTTTATGGTTAATTTTAAAAAAAATAGTTAATTGTAATTCCATTAACCAGTCATTAAATTTGTTAAAATTAAAAGAGCCATTCAAATAATGATATTCACTTATTTTCATAATGAAATAAAATAAGACAATTAAAAAATGTAAAACATCTACAGCTACCACAACAAAGATAAATGCTATAAAATATATTATTGGAGCATATTTTAAATTAATAGGCAATGAATCATTACCGTATTAAAGTTATAGTGTATGTCAATGAAGGAGGAAATGCAGTGCTTATAAAAGTTCTTATCATTTTGACTATGAGGAATTATGGCGGTGAACTTTAGGAATTGTGAAAATTGTGGAGGATTTTGAATGATTCATTTTTAAAAAATTGGTTTTATTATGCAATTTCTTTTTTATTAAATAAAAAGTTAAAATTGCTAAACAGTTAATTATTAGCCAAATTAAAAAATAAATAATTCCGATTGATATTAATAACAAAATCTATCTAAGACAGAAGAATTATAGAGAAAGGTCAGCTACATTTATGCAAGAATGAGAAAGAATATAAATTTATTTGATTGTCAAATATCATTGCACACAAAATGTACACTTAATTAAAAAGGAATCACTTGCTACCCTTATGAAAGTCTATTTAAAAATGTATATATTATTGAATGAAAAGTTGAACTTGTTTTTTTATTAATTCAAATTAGTTTGATACCTGTAACTTAATTTTTAAAATTTTATTTTGCAGCAGTGTTAATACTATAACTGGTGTCACCCAGTGAGGTAAACTTATGTTTCCAACCCCTTTCAGACTTCTCCATGGACCACCTTAACTTCAAGCGGACCTGCTCTGGGGACTACCTGATCTGTGGGCATGCTCTAGTATTTTACTGAATTTGTTTAAGAAATCAAATCAAGGAAACACTATTTTTGTCACACCAATGTGAGGGTGTCATACAAATGTGAGG